CTCTCTCTCTCTCTCTCTCTCTCTCTCTCTCTCTCTCTCTCTCTCTCTCTCGTCTCTCTCTCTCTCTCTCTCTCTCTCTCTCTCTCTCTCTCTCTCTCTCTCTCTCTCTCTCTCTCTCTCTCTCTCTCTCTCTCTATCGGCTGCCCCCGCTGTATTGATGGCACGTCTTCGGTAGGCAGGCAGTTTGACGTCTGATGTGACGACGGGAGTGGGGCGGTGTCGCTTGCAGCAATGCAAACATACAACCAATGTGTGCGTGCGTGTGTGTGCGTGCGTGCGTGCGTGCGTGCGTGTGTGCGTGCGTGCGTGCGTGCGTGCGTGCGTGGGCATCGATTCTTCTAGCCCCGCGCGTTGTCATTGATCAGTGCAATCTTCAGTGACATTACACGCTTACCGATATATATATATATATATATATAATTATAGGGGTGAGGGGAGCGGGTAGAGGTCATACAGCATACGCTATGCCACAATTATGTAGTGCGTGTATGTAAATTATAATTACTGTTACGTCACCACCCCGTAATTAATGTAGCATGTTGACTTTTTTCCCCAGTCAATACGAGCTGTGTGACAGTGCCTAGCAATGTTCTTGTGTTGACAAAACAATGTACTTATTGACTGCGACACAAGTCAATAACTCTGTATTATTTATCAACCCAGTAGGGCCCATAGTGAAGATTCATGATTCTACGTAAATTAATGTCATTATGAGTGTAATTTTTATGCATGAGCACGCATGGCTGCGTAAAGGTTTTTAACCGTTTAATCACCCGGCAAATGCAAAGCATGAACGCATTTCACTTAATTCCTTTATCTGCTACAAAGCTTCCCTAACTTCCTAAATATTGTGCTTACGTGTATGCGTACGTGTATGCGTACGTGTGCGTGCGTGTGCGCGTGCGGATGTGTGTGTGTGTGCACGTGCGAGTTTGCGTTCGTCAGTGCGTGCTGCTTTGGGAACCAACTGTCAAGGAACGCACCGCACCGTCTGTGCTTTGCGGTAATTTATCCTGTCAACATATTCTTTTACGAATTGACGTTGATGCCGTAAATCATTGTAAACGCCCTTTATACCTACGGGGATGGGTTACTATCTACATTACTGCAGTTTCCACGTACACCTCCTTCCCCACTTAGTCTGCTGAAAAGCCAAGTACGAACAGTAGCAGCCAGCAACAAATTAACAAAAACGTAGCGATTGAACAAGTTAAAAAAGAAGAATTTTGTACTGAGGGGACACACGCGGTCACGTAATTTTCTCATTACTCATTGGCCTGTCGTAATCCCAAAATGTTTTAACGAAGATGAACAAATTCTGCTGAAAATTCCCACACGGCACAATCTAATAATTAGATTCCCTGTTCAGTGGCCTGCATCGTCCAGCTGCATATGTGAACACAACTTCTCCCTCCATCAAGTACGATACCACACTAAGCGTTTGGCAGACGAATAATTGCTAAGGCGAGAAAGGATTCTCTTAAGAATTCTTAACATTTAAGACAGCCTGCCTCCTATGTTCTGCAGTTTTACTGGTTTCACCTTCGGTCTGCTTAACATCCCATTATATGCCCTCATTCCAGTCCCATCATGCGGGCACACTCACAGTGATGTCACGATGTGTCCGATGACATTTGCATCATGCTAATGAGAATCATAATGGAAAATGGGGTAATTTCACGCATCCGGCGCGGAGGTAAATTGCGCGTTCGTCCCGCGCAGTTGACGCAAAGACGAGTTGATGAATAGAGTGCTGATTAGGCTCACCAAAGGTTCTTCTGATGTTGTTTATTTAATGTTGTTCTACTGCTGTTGTTCGTTTAAAGTTGTTCTTCTAACGTTGTTCTCCTTATGCTGTTCGCCTAACGTTGTTCTTCTAACGTTGTTTTCCTAAGGTAGTTCTAACATTCCTCTTCTAACTTAAATTGTTATTCTAATGTTGCTCTCCTATCGTTGTTCTCCTATCGTTGTTCTCCTAACGTTGTTCGGCGCTCTGTTGCAGAGACTTCACGATCGTTGCCGGCGATTCGACTGGCAAGGTTTCCTTCTTCAACGGTATCCACGGCAACCTGCTGCAGGTAAGAGTAGCAAGCTAACTGTGCCTGCGTGGCTTCCAGACTCACGAAGACACGCAGCGTTTTCATCTAATCACACGATGGTGCTTTGGAATTGGGTGACGGTTTCTTAGAATTGTGTGACGGTTCATCAGAATTGTGTGACACTTCCTCAGAATTGTGTGACGGTTTCTTAGAATTGTGCATTCTGGTCCTTTAGAATCCCACGATGGTGGATTCAAGCAGTGGTCACCCTCCACCGCGAACGCGGCTGTAGTTCGGTGTAATCGCGCGCTTCCCCTGAAGAGACCTATCTGCACGCGTGCCGTCCATTTAGTAACACTTGCACGGATCGCGTTAAATCTACTTCACGTCGGATTGTGATGACTCCGGAGAACATCTCGCGTTTCGTTACCACGGTGATGGCACGCTTTCGAGCACAAGCAAACGGGCGAGGCTGAACTAGGTTTTCGGACGCACTCAGAAGGCTTTTAGGTAATCGTGTTAATTAGAGTTAATGACGATAAATGCAGCTGCTGTCGTTAGGAGCGGGAATGCGTCGAGCTGTTTTTTGTCGGTTGCTGTATTAGGATGCTGAGGAATGACGTACGTCGTAATTTTGGCGAGATGTGTTGTGAATGTTGCAAGGCGAGCGCGCGTTTCACGTTGGTGCGTTTTTATCCCTCTCCGGCTAGGTCTTTCAAGCGAACAAGGCTGATGTGCTAACGCTGTGCTTGAATGAGGTGCGTATAACGCAAGTTCATCGCGTAATAGAGCGTTGTCATTAATCATAGCTGAATCAGTTTTGGGTCCAACGTATGAGCGGACGTGTTGGAATAGAGATGATTTGTGTGATATGTGTTATACTTATATGGTATATGTTATGTTATGTGTTATAGGGTATATTATATGTTATGTTATGTGTTATGTGTGATGTTGTTCGTGTGATGTTATGTGTTAGATGTTATGCAGGGATAGAAATTAACTTTTGAACACGGGAGTCCAACGGACTCTCTACCCTCAAAAAGAGTCCACAGTCTGAGGTTCAAAATTAAAGATATTAACAATAACGCATGTGCTTATTTTTAAGATTCATGACGTTGCACGTTCACAGGACCATCTAGTTTGAAATTTAGATGGTCCTAAATTTGAGATGGTTCTTCTAAATTTCAAATTGTTCTCTAAAAGTAATGCGGCGTGCAAGAAATTTACCGTAAAATGGGACCAAAATATAATTGAGATGTTTAGTGATCTGTGTCCGTGATCAGTGAACCATGTACATGTATTCATATGTCAGTTATATAGAGAGGCGCGCCATAGAACATGTACATGGTTGACTGATCACGGACAGGGATGACTGAACATCGGTTAATGTATGTGATAATACGTGCTATCTGTATTTCATCAGGTACAGATAGCACGTATTATGACATACATTATCACATACATTAAAACCGTTATAGGCCGAGTGTCGACTATAGTCGAGCGCTAGGATTCGTCTCGACTTTTCTGCTGCAGTGTATAATTGAGTGCTAGGATTCCTCTTTACGTTTCTGCTGCGCTAGGATTCCTCTTTACTTTTCTGCTGCAGTGCGCTACTATTTTTACGTTCCGCGTATGAAATTGAGATTCGATTCCGTACTTTCGGATGGATCCATCATTTCCGGGTTTGAAAATAAATTTTTTTGTTCAAATTTTCAGCCAAAAAGTGGCAAAAAATAATATTTAGCTACAAAATGGACCGAAAAAGTGGAGTTCCAAAAAAAAGGAAATCTCTTTTTTTCTTTTTTGCCCTTATTTTTCCCTTTTTTTGAAATTTTTACCTTTTTTTGGCCTAAAATGGTCGTGGCGTCATGCTGATTCAGAATATATATGGTGTTGGGGGTCACCTCTTACGGGTCTCGAGAAGATAGACGGACAGACAGACGGATCCGGCCATTTATGTAGGAAATGTTATATGTTAAGTGTTATATGTTGTGTTATGTGTTATATGTTATATGTTATGTGTTATGTGTTACGTGTTACTCATGTGATGTTATTAGCGTGTTCGTTTAGCATTCATCGGCAGTAATGTTTGTGAATTTAAAGGAGTAAAAACATCTGCAGTAATGTTATTTGTGAATTTAAAGGAGGAAAACCATCTGCAGTAGCGTTGTTTGTGAATTTAAAGGAGGAAAAACATCTGCAGTAATGTTATTTGTGAATTTAAAGGAGGAGAAATATCTGAAGTAGCGTTGTTTGTGAATTTAAAGGAGGAAAACAAGCTGTTCTGTGGAGGAGTAGAGCCCGGGATCTCTCAATTTGAGAAAGTCATCGCCGGACCGGGCAATGATAGCTTCCATAGAGGTAAGACCTTCTTTTTCTTCTTCTTCTTCCTCTTTTTCTTCTCTGGTCACTACTTCTTCTCGGGTCACTACACTACACTCGACCTAGCTATTGCAGCACACCGGACCTGGCACGGTGGCTGAAAACCTCAAGGTCTCCAGGTCTGCAGGGCTCTGTATGAGGTGTGGTGTAGTGTGGGAGAGGGATGCACAGGTGGGAAACGTGGCAGGGGCCGCGACATGAACGCTCCTTCTGTGGCCCCCAGAGGTAAGACTATGTCACACGTAGCTGTCACATATAAAGGCTAACGCTCCATTAGGAGTGTTCCCAACTTTGATATCATTAATGATTAATGATTAATGATTAATGATTAATGATTGATAATCCTAACCCTAACCCTAACCTTAACCCTAACCCTAACCCTAACCTAAATGACATTCAACC